CACATTTTGCAATTCAACTCATAACATGGAGAAACACATTTTATTGGCTCTTCATGTACCTCCCTCTTTATAAAACAAAATCGAGAAATATTCAAACAGTTCATTATGAAAGCGCAACATACTATACGTATACCATATGTATAGTTGTGGAAATGTGTTCATACACACCCTGTGGTAACCCTGGTCTCCTAACAGCAACATTGCAGTAGTAGTATCACTATTTATGAATTAATGGGTATTGGTCGTGCAATGACGGGTATGATTGGAGGATAGGTTTGCTATATACTGTAAGACTAGGTCATATAGGTTGGCCGTTTGAAGACAAGGGTTACCACAGGGGGTGTAGGAACACATTTCCGCAACAGTACCTGTTGGTAACATCATCCGATTCATTTTTTCCCAAACACAACCTGACTAAGGTCAAATATGTAACATATCCTCTAACACCCTCAATTCCTAGGTTTTAAAATAATCAAATCGTGCCCACTATCTTACTTGAATGAGCTAATGGGAAGGAACAACGTCTTTGTCAAGTTCCAAGAGAAACAAGAGAAGCATTTAAACCTCTTCAATAGTTACTGCATTCATACAGTGGACAGGCAATCAACACAGCACTGCCTGTGATTCTATATCTTCAAAACCAGGTTGGGGATAATATAACCATTGAATAGGGCTTAATTCCATCTTACAGCATGAGCCACCTTCCTTTTTGGTGAATGTCAAGCAAATACAGTAAAGCTCAATTTGTTTTAAAATTGTGTATTGTATATCAATCACATTTAGGAAGCAAAACAGAAAGACATGCACTCACTGCAACAATGTTCTTGTTTAAATCATCCAATTCTGCCCTTTTAAGGGGGGGGGTGGGAATTAAATATGAAAACTTCATTCTTTGATGCATATTTTGATGATAATTTAAAGAATTATAGTTTAAATATACCTGTAATTGATACAAGAGGTACATTTCAGTACTGTACCTGCATACAGGTAATTATAAATTGATACTTTCTAATATCTTTATTCCAAAAATAATTTAATATTTTCAATAAACAAATGGGTGGCATCCAGTCTTCAAACTTTTAAGTTTTCTTTTATTCCTTTACACTACGTTGATCCTTAAATTCCCCTGCACGTGCAACTCTTTCATTTTATTTACTCATTCCTTGACACCCAATCATTTTATTGTATAAACTTGCATTAAGAGTTTTCTTTATTAATATTCTGTGTATTACTGCAGTTTCACTAAATTATCTCATTCCTCACCTTTACTTTTCTTAATGAAGTCTTGAAGTAAGAGCCAAAATTAAGCAGACCCTTCTTCACTAAAGCATGGTTTTACAACACAATGTTATCCAAATCCTTCAATCATTTATTTCTCAATACTAAAAAAACATTTATTCAATGTTTTTAGCCTCACTAACCTGCACTTAAACCACTGACAAGTATGGTTGCAACATCCAGAGCAAGAGAAGGTGATGGTGACAGGTCTTACAGCACTGCCTGGTCACATTTTCCTAGATGGTGTCAGGCCTAATTATATCACATGCCTCTCCAACCTTCTTTCCATACTGTAAGCAATTGACAGAGAAAAAATTTCTCTGCATTTGAAATTTCAATTTTAAACACAGAAGTACTAAATTAAGATTCTGATAAGGTATCCTTATTAGAAACCAAGGTGATGAAACAAGTGATATTAGAATATGAAGCATACTTCCAAAAATTTGATGTGATAACAATGAACTTATACAAATTTTTTTTTAAAGAAATACTCGTATCATAATTTGAACGAAGCATACTAGTGAATTATACACACAAGTACCCTGAGTGTTATTTAGCAATGCATTATTAGCAAAAGTAAGAAAATACTAACGTAAGTTGAATAAAACACCATACCTTGATTATGCCAGACATCAAAATATCACAACCTAAGCCTCCCATATGATCTTCGTATCCTCTAATCCAAGTACAGTACAGTATTGTCCAGTGATATCCCCATTGGCTGGAATAATTGGAGCAGAACTTTTCTGGAGATAAGAGATTTCGAGGTAACAAGACGACTCTCTCAAACCCGGAAGAATCCCACATCTCCAGAATTTTTCCAGTTACTGGGAAAAGTTTCTGGGAATTCTGTATTATTTCATCCTTGGAATTTGTTCTCAGACCCATAACAGAAAAATTTGGAGTTTCTGGGATTTTCCAGAATTATGCATTATTTTATCCTCAGAATTTACTCCCAAACCCGGAAAAAAAATTAAGAGTTTTTGTAATAATAAAAAAAAAAAAAAAGTGCCTGATTTTCAATTTTGGAATGTGCTCCCAGAGCCAGAAAGTTTTTGGGGGGAGAGATTTTCTCTGAAAGGGCACCTAATTTTCAACCTTAGAAACTCATTCACAGACCCGGAATGGAGAGAGTTTTCCTGGAAAAATTCTGAGAGTTCCGGCTACCGGAGATATTACTTTCAATTTATATTCCTACTCAGCCACTTTGGTCAAGTACTTTCATGTTTTTACCCCCCCCCCCCAAAAAAGTTAAACAATGGGAATATTGAGGACAGCATGCGACAGCATATAGAAAATATCATCATGCAGACAAATTATGAAGCTTTAAAGCTAAGAACTGTATGTACTACTTATTTTGTAATATATATATATATATATATATATATATATATATATATATATATATATATATATATATATATATATATATATATATATATATATATATATATATATATATATATATATATATATATATATATATATATGTATATATATATATATATATATATATATATATATATATATATATATATATATATATATATATATATATATATATATACTGTATATATATATATATATATATATATATATATATATATATATATATATATATATATATATATATATATATATATAAGTACAATTACAAAATAAGTAGTACTATAATACAGTTCTTAAACTTTTATAAAAGCTTCATAATTTGTCTGCATGATGATATTTTCTATATACTGTCAAGTACTGTACCTCTGTCCTTAAAGGCAATTTTTTTATTTTTTAATATTCCCATCTGAACAACTCTAATTTTCTTTGTCAACCAATGGATTCTCCACGACCTAGATTTTTTGGGGGAAGTTATCTTTAAGAAAATGTTTTGTTACTGTTATTATAAATTTGTTAATTCAGCGACAAAATGTACTGTAATTATAATATTTAAACCTCAAGAATCCACAGAAAATCTCTTCCCAATATCCCCCCCCAAAAGACCATTGTATTACCGTATATACTCGTGTATAGTTTTTAGGACCAAATTTTTAGGCAAAAAATTGGGGGTCGTCCTATACAAGCGTAATAGTTTTGTTAGGTTGAACCCGTGCATGATGGGAAGGGCGAGGAGTAACTTTTAGCTTCAGACATGAAAAATATTTACCATTTACTGCCAGTAAACAATGGTAACGTAAAATATGTACCAATTAGTAATGAAAAGTTGTGCAGTTCCTTCAGCAAATGAAGCTCACCAACTTACAATAGGCTAAATTACCTTACAACGCACTTTCAGTAATCTATGTTGAAGTTCTTAGCACAGGCGAACTTATCTTATCATATACGGTATCACAGTTCTCATTGATCTACAAAAAATACCGGTAATAAAAACCTTTTCTATTTTTCACACTTAATATAATACCAGGTAATCTACTTCAACCTCCTATTGTTTACAACGACGCATGACTCATCACGCACCACCAGCTGTTGAGTGTATCAGCTAGACGGTACACGTGTTTTTTGAATCGTTTTCAGTTAAAAAACTGCTACATCACATATATATTTTACCTTAACTGTGCCTAAATGAATATATACTCGGAAATAAATAGTAGTTTTGCTGAAACGTGATGTATTTTAATGTAAAATAGGATAAAATACATGAAGAAAACATAAGATTTTACCTAACCTTCCGATGTTCAGGAGAAGTTATTCGTTTTTTTTATAGTTTTTGGTTAAAATATTGTTATATTACAATGGTATTCTATTCATACTGTGCTTGATATAATGCATTCACGGAAATGTAATATTTTTGCTGAAATGACGTACGTATTACAGTGGAAAGTGGGATAAAATCGTGACGAAAACAATGACTTTTGCTTTCTTTCGTTCAAAAGATGTTACCGTAATCGCTTTTCGATTGGTTTTCAGTTAAAAAACTGTTGTATTACAATAATATTCTATCCTAATTGACTTGAATAAATACTACGATACCATATTTCGGAATATTTTCATTAAAATCCATCAAAATCATTTTCCTTGTCATCGTCTGCAGCACCAAACAACTTCTCCCAGTCCTCTCCTTGATCAGGGCTAGAGGCTACGTGTTTTTCTAATCGTTTTCAGTTAAAAATCTATTACATCACACGTATATTTTGCCTAACCTGCGCCTGAATGAATATATTCTCGGAAATAAATAGTAGTTTTGCTGAAACGTGATGTATTTCAATGTAAAATAGGATAAAATACATGACGAAAACAAAAGACTTTACCTAAGCTTCCGATGTTCTTGAGATGTTACTCGTTTTTTTAATAGTTTTCGGTTAAAATTTTGTTATATTACAATGATATTCTATTCATACTGTGCTTGATATAATGCATTCACGGAAATGTAATATTTTTGCTGAAATTACGTACGTATTACAGTGGAAAGTGGGATAAAATCGTGACGAAAACAATGGATTTCGCTTTCTTTCGTTCAAAAGATGTTACCGTAATCGCTTTTTGAATGGTTTAGTTAAAAAACTGTTGTATTACAATAATATTCCCTCCTAATTGACTTGAATAAATACTTGAATGGAAATATACAATATTTTTGTTGAAACTACCCGCGTTTCAGTATAAAGTGTCGTAATAATAAATGGTAAACAATTTGCCTTCGGCACTCGGTGTTTCAGGCACGGCGAGCCTCAGTTTATAGGACGTAGAGCGTTTTTACTGAAGGTTTTGTTGTTCCATTACCCTAAAAAATGTGGGTCGACCTATAAACAAGGAATATCATAAATTAACGATTTCTTGGTAAAAAAATCAGGGTCGACCTATAAATGAGGGGGGGGTTATAGACGAGTATATACGGTATGTTATGTTTAAAATAAATTTTCATACACTGCATTAAACAAAAATAAAGGGGACGGGAGCACAAAAAAATTTAAACTACAGGTAATCCTCTATAACTGTACATTTGTTTTAATTTTTTTTTTTAATGTTATTGAATATTTTTATACAGTACGTCATGCACACTAAGCTGCACCGTAACCTTCACTGTGCTGTGAGTTTAACCCACACCAATTCAATCTCAGTCACATGTGGTCTGTTGTCATGTGATTGTCTGATCTTCATTGGGAATATTTTTTGAGTAAATAGAGGAGTATCTGTAATTAAACTACAATCTTTAAAACAATGGGTACTGTACTAAATACTGTAATGCTCAATTCCAATAAAATTTAAATAATTGTAACCAATGAGGCAATACAATTGTACACATACAAGACAGAATAAGACTTTCATTCATCACTTGCCACTTTTTGTTATTGAGGGGGCCTACTTGGATTACATGCAAATATCAATGCAAAACCCGTTAGAATGTTCACAAGCATTCCAGGTAAAATCCCTTCACATCAAACCTTAAAAATTGTAATTCTGGGAAGAGGATGGCTCTACTGTATTTGAATAATCATGGCTACTTGTAAATGATTTTTCTATACTGATTCCAGGCCTCACTATAGCACCTTTTTGCATTAACGATAAGTTAAAAACAATACAAAATTTAAAGTTACTGCAAAATGACGAGAAACAAGACACAAAGTAGACCCAACTGTGTACTGATCATTATGTTCAACCATGAAATCTTTCAATTTTATTTATACAAATAAAAAAGACCATTGATATAAATCACTTAGGATATTATAGCCATCTACTACTGGGTTTCAGCAGATATGACTAGAAATATAATTTTAGCAATAACTATTGCTATTTACAATAATGTGGATACAGTTCATAGTGAAAATTTGACTGATACACAAGTTAAAACACCAAAACAAAACTACACACGTGCCAAATTTGAGTTTATGTCCACATTTCATGACTTTGCTCGCTGAAAGAATAATTTACTATAATTTCTAAAGAACTTTGCTTCAGATGTAAGGGCCTGACAATACTCATTAATTAATTGTGGTGAAAGTTCTATCTTCGGTAAGTATTCTGAGCGCAAATATGAAAGTAATTCCTCCCCCCGTTTTTTATATACAGACTGCAGACACATAACTGACTCATGTAGAGCCAAGATAGTCTGTGCATCATTTAGGTCAAAGGTAGTCTTCAGAGGTGCCAGGAAACACGCTGGGACAACCTATAAAAAACCAAGGTTGTGATGAAAGAGATTAGTTATGTTTGTATCTTAAACTAAAAACAAAACAAAAAATCTATAAGGTTAAATGACGACATCTTCTATATGTAATTTCAGGTATGTACTGGAAAAATTTACAAATGAGAAATCTCCCTTTTATGTATAAAAAGCCAGGCACCTAAGTTGTTACCCAGTATACATGTACACATTACACGTAGCACTGGTCAATATTTACTGAAATTTAACATAAGGCCAATTAGGTTAATCTTTAGAGTGTGATGAGGGAAGAAGACGTCGAAATGCCCAAGTGCAAGTAGTCTGAACATTAATAACCTGAAGACTACAAAAAATTTTGAACCAGCAACCTGGGATGAGGTAAATATCATAATCATTCTAGGAATTTTCTTCTGCTTTTGTAATTCTAAACAGTATCAGTATGTACACTGATGACTGGAAAAGACAAGAGGATTAAAAATGTTAAAACTCACTGTCATGGAGAATACATCAACAAACATATTGGTGAAAGGCTGAATGAATATGACAAAAATAAAACTACTTGACACAACAGTACGTAAGAACTGAGCTTAACCCTTTTAACTCAAAGTTTGATAAAAGTCGAATGAATTTTTAATGTCAATTGAACTCGAAGTTTGCCTTTTCTCCAGAGCCACCAAAAAAAATTTCCACACAATATTCGACATGTATCACCAAAGTTTGTAACGACCATCTGTTGCTTGTAAACAAAGTTTCAGCTGAAACACACATGGTGGCAGGTTTTGACAGTCTTCTTCAATTTTCTTCTGATTTTCATCATCATATAGGAAAGTTAGGAGCACCATTACGTATATCAGAACTTAAAGAACAAGTGCATGTTTGTCTTCGTGTGTACACTTCAGTGATATATTTATGAAAAATTATGCCATATGAATGCCAAAATGAGGCACTTTTAGTGCCCATATGACAATTTCAGAGTACCAGCAGTAGAATCCAAAAAGAGGTTGATTTTAGACCACTATTTCATTCCCTACCAAATTCACTCAAACACAGAAAATCATGAGAACAAAACTGCAATAAAGTTTAATTCATGAGATATCTAGGAAGAAGTTAATTTACAGCTTAAATCCTAATACTATATGTCAGCTTTAAGACTGATAATGTTATAGGAATATTGAGAGGGCAAAAAAACTTCCAAGGCTCTTACTTAATGCACTGATATGAACAACCTTAATAAGTATCTTATTTTCAATTTTCTGTATGAGAAAGTTGAAACAAAAACCTAAAACTATGCTTTTATAACATTCATCAAAAAACACTACAGTAAGATCTCATGTTTCGCACGATTTCATTTGGCGTTTTTTAATTTTGTGAGCACTTCCTAATGTAACCAAATCTTATATTTGGCGTAAAATATCGTGAGTTTCGCGAGATCCAGCCAACTGAACGCTGTAATATTTTATGTTGCAGCATACCGTAAGTATGTTTTTTGGTAACTGGCCAGCCGCACTCTCCCTCCCCCCGTGTGATGTAAGGGCATACAGGCAGCAGCCACACACTTCTCTTGAATCAGTTTCATGACTGCCTGGGGCAATATGACTAGAATAATGTGTTGCCTTTATATTGTATCAGTATATGTGAAGAATACAGTAAATAAATATAATTATAATAAGTAAAATAATTAAATAATGGGTTACCATTTGGCAATAATTTCAAGGGGCACGAGATGGAACAGCAGGCCACCGTAGTGTATGACGTCACAGCCCTCATACCAGTTACTCCCGCGCCATCCTAGCGACCGCCCGGGCTGCTATTGTGTGCTTTTTTTGGTGGTGCTACCACCTGTCGAGTCAAGACATTGGCCTCTACCTGTACTGGGGGTCCTATTGGTGCTGTTGGAGGTGGGACAGACCCACCTAAGTGGCCAAATAAGGAAAGGGAGAAGCGAGACTACCGTAAGGGAGTTAAGTTTGCCAAGTCTCGATGCAGGATAAGCAGCGTGTGATTAAGTTACTTGAGGAAGGCCTTAAAACTAGTTAAATAAGAAAGATTACTGGTTTTCCAGAAAGCACAATCAGGTCAATAAAGGCAGAATTTGTATCATTTGGAGGTAATAAATTGGAAAATCAGAGGTTGATGTAGAGTGGCCAGACTATATTGTTATTTTTCCATTAGTTTATGTATTTGGATTTGGAGAATTTGAATTTGGCGCAATTTTTCCAGCCTATATTACCCGCGAAATACAAGACCTTACTGTATTATGACAAGATACATCCAAGAGTATAATTTGAAAATCGAGATAAGCATGTTTACATGTATTCTTAGACAAAGTTTGAAGCAAAAATCCATGATTTAAAAATTTTTGCCACACATTTTACTAGCTTGAATATAAAGTGCTACAAGTCATATTTTCATAAATCATTATTACCATGACGTATTCCTTACCTGTGTATAAAGAAATTCAACAAAGCCAGGGGGACCAACATCTTTCACACCCCAGGCTTCTGTCAAACGCCGTAAGATCACAAAGCAATTCTTTTGAGCAACTGGGTCAGGAAACTCCACTGCACCTTGCACTACAGACATCAGGACCTATATATATATACATATAAAATTAAAAATCAATGTGCAATTTTTATATTACATTCTGTCAAATTGTGTAATCATGAATGAAAGAACACACTGTATAATTGCCCAAATGAATGTCACAATTTCCAGAAACTTTCAATCAGAAAGTGGTATCTCGCAACTACCATTCACTTTATTTTCGCTTTTAATTTTTTGAGGTAGACCATAATTTGTGAAAGTTAAAAAAATTAACTAATATATGCTAAAGCAGTTTTTCATAAGAATATTGCAAGAATAAATTATGCTTGTAAATTTTAGTACAGTGGTCCCTCGGTTACTGAATGCTTTGGTTAACGAATGACCTTCCATAAGAATCTTCATTTCGGTTAACGAACAAAAATTCGGTTAACGAAATTCTTACGAAGATGTTTCGACATGCTTTGGCTTGCTCACCAGCTGGAAGATTAGTCCGCCAATACAGAAATCGGTTCTAGGGCTTACATTTGTTAAAATTGGAGTAAATATCAAGAAGGTTGTACTATTCAATAATTTTCCAAGTTTTATATAATTTTTTTTAGTCATTTTAACACTTATTTAACATAATTGCAGTACAGGGAACTAGTTTTTGGTGTGCCCATCAGCCACCTCACTCACCCACCAAGGCTCCAGTTTGTATCTCTGTTCAGTGGAGGAAACATCTTGCTTGTGGGTCTCTTGAACACAGAGTATTTTTACATTTTTACAATACAATTATTGGTCATTCTGAAATTTATTTAACATATTGACAATATATACTGCAGTGTTGATTAAAAGAAAATAATCTTGAATTACACCAAGTGAACTAAAAATTTTATGGGTGAAATGACGGCATCAAGCATAGGGTGATTTCTCTTCCACCCCCACTTCTAATTCCCATCATCATCGTCGTCAACCACGAGCCTTCTACATACACACCTCAAAGTAAGTGTACTTTACTGCATTTTTTTTTACTTTGTATGAAATTTTCGGTGAGCTGGAACCAATTACCCAAAATCCCATTGAAACATTGGTTTCGGTTAACGAAATTTTTGGTTAACGAATAACCTTCTGCAACGAATTGTGTTCGTTAACCGAGGGACCACTGTACATAAAAAAAAAAAAAAATGACATGAGGTTATTGCTCCGGGAGTTAGAATTGTACGTCACAAAATGAAAATGAATGACAAATAAAAAATATGAATTGAATTAATATTTATACTCACCACCATGGTTATGCCATGTCTTTAATGAATAGTATATGTAAAAAAATATTTTCCATATTCACCACCTCGATGGACAATGTGTGTGAGGAGGAAAACATTCACAATTAATTAATAATTCATTTACCGTCCGACTGTATTGTATTATTTAAAGTGATATCTCCGTTAGCCGGAACAGTTGGTGCAGAGCACTTACAAGAATGAGAAATTTCCAAAGCTGGACAAAATTTACCATCGCCGGAATTTTCCAGGTAACGGAAAACTTTCATTATTTCCAGAAAATGTGCCCAATTTTCATCTCTCAAACCCGGAAAAAAATCCCCCATCACCGGAATTTTCCAGGTATCCGTACTGGGAAAATTTTCTCCGAATTTTCCAGAAAATGTTCCCCTTGGAAAATCGTTCCCAAAGTCGGAATTTTTGCCCAAATTCTAGCTTTGGGAACGATTTTCCAAAAAAATTTAAATTCTGGCTATCATAGCTTTAGTTAAGAAAAATTCCCACTAATGGAGATATTTTTGTATAAAAAACAATAAACTTTAAAGGGTGGCTCCAGTGCCGGAAAAACATGCAATAATCCTAATTTTCATCTCATGATTTCTCCAACAAATTATTATTCTCTTATTTAGTGACTAAATATAAATGTGTAGAAGAAAGATTGAGGTTTCTAATGGCGAAAAAGAAAAGAAAAATCTCAATTAGAGCACGTTCTACATGTATTTGAAAATTATCATCTTACGCGATTTGCTCTTTTTTCTACGTAGCAAAATATACCCTGTCCTGAGCCGACAGTGCACGTTAATATACAGTACCAGCGTTTTAAGGGTTAAGATTCCTGTTCAATGGTCATTCGCTATGATAAAAAATGTAAAATTTGGTTAAATTGCTAACTTCTATGAAACCTTATTCAACTAATAATTATTTTAGAGGAACAAATGCCTTTCTTATTGTTCTAAAAATAGAAAATAAACTCATAAACAAGGAAATAAGCCATATGCAGAATATTCTACACTTAGAAGTAAGTGTTATTGGCTCGTGTTGCTGTATTATCTTGGACAGGCTGTACTTTTTTTCCTGCTCACATCTTCTTCATCTTTCAAGCTCTTTTACTTTTGCTACTCATTTTGAAGCCCTTTACCTGCAAAGATATGAGGGAATACCAGACGAAAGTTAGGTAGTGAGAAATTTGGCTCAGGAGTTCATTAATATAGCATCCTATAACAATGGCGTCCAGCCCACTGGTCAGTCACTCGTTCGACTCCCACCAAATTGCCAGATATCGCTGTTTGAACAAATCATACTGAAAACTGTGACATCACTTCTTCGACTGCTTGTACACTCACTACAAAAAGTATCTGCACTTTTTTGGGCTAGACAATATGGCAAAATGGACAAAGGATACTGTCAACCCTACCAAGACAACAGGAGTCAGTGTTCAATCTGAAATTCATCAGACCCCACCTTGCAGATACGGTAGTTTTCTGTAGTGAGTGTAAATCCTTAAATAACCAGATAGTGCAATATTTACTCATATAAAATATTGATGATTTTGTCTTTTTATGAAACATTGTTAATACAATTCTCTCTCCCTCTATTTCTTATTGCATCCATGACATTCTTTCCTTCAGTTACTCCTTTCTTTGATTCTGGGTCACCTACTTCCATTTGCCAACATGTCCACTCCCAGACATCTGAAACACCTGTTTTTTTTTCCATTCTATCCCCATCCAAACTTATATTATATTCAATTTTCCATGTCTCACTTTTCTTCTTATTTTTCATACTTTACACTTGTTCAAATTCACTATTAACTTCATACTACACACTTACTTAAACATATTAAGGGGAGCTTAACACCAACCTGTTGTAAAATATTCGAGTCTAAAGAAGCCATGACATCCAACAGATTATTTGATACAATAGTGGTTAGAAAAAGATAATAGTTCCGCTGAAGTAGTCTTCTTGTTCTCCTCTCTTCCTCATCATTTTCCTCAAGAGGTTCTGATAGAGCTGTGAAGATGGCAGATACCAGGGGAACAAATATACTTTGCAGGAAAGGACTGATATCCTTCTGAAAATGAGGAAATGCATACATTTTAGAAGTGAAAATTAAAAATTAAAGCATATGAACAGCCGTAAGAATGATTTGTCATTATCCTCTGTACATTTTTGTGATGGGAAGAACCATAATTCAAGTATGAAATTATTACTTGAAACTTGGTGATGATCTGATTGATGAGGGGAAGATATTCTGTAAGGACTGTTGGTGAGGGTGTGTGAAGAAGAGCTTGAGAAGCAACTGGTAACAAGGGCAGTAAGCTTCCTCCATCCAGGCAAACCACCAGTCTGTGCATCAACTGCCGCACACCAGATCCCACCATTTCTCGCTCCATTCCAACCTGTCAAAAAAGTATAAACATACAGTATTTTTTATACTATCTTTTATATTTAACAATGATTTCAAAGAGAAGACGGTGTGGAGTAATTTTTGAGGAATGACTTGCTGTTGATGATGTTGCTTGATTATGTGAAGCAATATGGGGAAACCTGATTTGGACTTTTAGTGGAAGGAGAATATTGTATCACGAAAGAACACAAATAAAGACAAATTGTGTGGGTATTTCATCCTGATTTTGGGCCCCCTGAATTAACCTTTACCCAGCAACTAAGATTTTTCTACTCACCCTTCACATGTGCAAAAATGGAATGCACGGAACATGAAACTTCCACAGATATTGACAGCCACTCCTACAGCTAACTTCCACAGGTGATGTAGGGTGACCAAAAGCAAACAAACAGACAGGATCTCTCTTCATTCAGTCATTCTTATTGATGTAATAAATGATTTTGGTTATGGTATTCCTTTTCCAAAACATGGCCCTATATGTACAGTCACTCAAAAAACTATCTGTAATGGGGGAATCGATGAATTTCAGAATGAACACTGCAACCAATGTTGTCTCGGTAAGGTTGTCAAAATTCTCCATCCATTGTGTCATATTTTATCAACTCAATTTTGTACATATAGATTTTTTGAGTGACTTGATAACATGCTCTTCAGTCTTTCAAGCATATCACTGCATCCTCTCATTTCTATTGAATCCTTCCATCTCCTTGGTCTACACTACTCCCTCCTACCATAAACCTATGAACTATAAATATTTAACCAATCTTTCAAGCCTCACTCTCTCAGTACTGCCATACCACCTCAGATTTGTCTGCAATCTTTCTTATTTTGTCCATGACATTTGGGCTATATACTGATCTTAATTGTCCTAACATATTGGTGACTAATATAAACACAATTTGCAGACATTCTTTTTTCTACACATATGATTATTTTTTAATTTTGTGAGCCTTTTCCATCTATGGTATAGGGTGTCCAGAATCAAAAGGAGAGACTCTTCCTTCCTTTGTCATTACCTATTCAATCGAGTAGTTGTGATATCCCCACAAACCACTTGATACCATTCCCTATTATCAATCTCATCTAGATTGTTACTTCCTGATATTCACCACACCTCACTTCAAATACAGTCTGTCTTTTACTATAGCATGGGAATGTATTTTGATAGATGCTGTGATATAGCTGACTCCAATACAATACATGTACACTCTCACCAAACACTTCTCGAACAATATAAGCATTATGCAATCTGGAAAATGAATGGAGAATCTGAAACCATTCCGAGATGACTAGCCCCATTCTGCTCATTCTCACATCCATCGTGCCCAGGTGTTCCTGAAGTTTTTGTCGAAAGTGTACAATATAGTGTATGTAAACCAAAGCAACAAAGCTGTAAATAACAGTACCGTGATCCCTAGGTTAACGAACGCCTCGGTTAACGAAATTTAGGTTAACGAACTGCCTTCCATAAGAATCTTCAATTCGGTTAACGAAAAAAAATTCGGTTAATGAATTTCTTATGAACCGACCTCAACATGTTTTCGCTTGCACTGGCCGGGCAACCAGCTTTAGTGTCAGTCCGCCAATACATTAATCGGTTCTAGGGCCTAAATTCCTTACTATTTTAGTAAATATCAAGAAGTTTATACTATTCAATAATTTTAAAAGTTTAATATTCAATTTTTTAGTCATTTTAACAATTATTGAACATAATTGAAGGTAAAGTGACTAGTTTAATGCGTGGCATCCAGCCTCTTAACACAGTAAACAGGCGTTAGTCTCTCTCTGTTTTCACTGGAGGTAACATCTTGCTTGAGACTCTCTTCAACTGAACGCTTTTTTTCTGTGTTTCCAAGCAAATTATTGGTCATTTTGAAATATATTTTACATATTGACAATATATAATGCAGTGCAGTGTTGATTTAAAGGAAATAATCTTGAAATACACCAAGAGAACTAAAATTTTATGGGTGAAATGGTGCCATGGGGTGACTTCTCTTCCACCCCAATGCCTTCTCTTCTTCCTTCTCCTCCACCCCCATTCCCATCATCATCATCATCATCATCATCATCATCATCATCATCATCATCATCATCATCCAGGAGCCTTCTACATACACACCTCAAAGTAAGTGAACTTTTCTACCATTTTTGTTGAATTTAGGCAATTTTCGGTGAGCTGGAACCAATTACCCAAAACCCATTGAAACAATGGTTTCGGTAAACGAACTTTTCGGTTAACGAACAACCTGCTGGAAAGGATTGAGTTCGTTAACCGAGGGACCACTGTACATGTATTATTTACCATATGTTCAACAGTCCTGGTTCACTTAGTAGAAAATCTTACTACAGTATAATATATTTTTGGGGAGGACAGTTATGTGATTTTGCTGAAGTTCAACCTATCGATTTGGCAACCCATACAAGGAATATTTACGACACAAATATGTGATAATCCATTCCAGACCCAGACTAACCACTAACCATGTGATTCCCAAGCCTGCCAGGGGCAGATCCTTGATACTATGGATGGAATATACAGTTTCTTGTTTCAGCAGTTAACATCCTTGACCAAATCTTGATCATTTTAATTATCAAGTTGTGTCTGTACTTAAAGATTAAAAAAAATATATACTTTAGTCCAGTATTGATTCTGAAATCCCTCTATAGGAGCCTGGTAAAGAGTATTAAGCCAGAAAATATATATTTTTTTATATCCAACAGATTATGAATTCATTATAAATACTACTCCAATCCACAGAACTCTCCGTGATTCTATTATAATAGCCGATCAATGAGACAAGTAGAGAAAAGACAAAAGTTAAAAACACCATAAAATGCAATTAAACTTTAGAGGGAAGTTTGAAGATTATACTGTAATGGTACAATAAACACATCTCAGTAGCTGTGTCACTTGTGTTGTTCTCGCCAAGAGCGACTCATAAATCACTCTCATAAGATTTAAAAAAAAATACATGGCTTATTACGATAACTTTGTACTTACTGTAAAGCAAATAAAATATACATCTTAAGTTTTAGAACATGACAAACTATATATCTATGAAAATTATACTTACATTAAGACAGGTAATGAACAGCTGCAGGGCATCCAAGTACATCTGTACACAACCACATGCTTGAATGGTGTTCTGATTTGAAAATGCCTTTGAAGTCCGTGCTGTCACTGATGTTGCATGACAGATACTTTTAGCAATACTCATCTGGAATAATATAAACATATAAAACTAATCACACAGACCAGAAATAAATAATTGATTAACTACCCACGTAAATAAATACCTGTACTGTATAATTATGAAAAGAATACTGTAATTCAAGAGGATAATCTACTTTGATACACTTATACTGTATTTAGGAGATTTATATGTGAAAGTAATAATGACCAGAGGTGACCACAGAGTGATGTGTTAAGGTGATATAATCATATTAAGAGAATGGATAGATAAAGGATGGTAAAAGGAATGTATAATTCAATGATGGATGATTAAGTGTGAAAATGCAAGGAGATGGAGTGTTTGGATGAACAGTGCACTAGTAATGAGAGGGATGGACATCTAGGAGGCAGTAAAGAACATGAATGACAGGAAAGCATGGCATATAATGGTTTATGGGGATGCTACAAAAGTAACAGTGAAAGAAAGACAGGAGAAAAAAAAAAGATTTGTTCTTAGCTCTGGTCACCCAATATTTCAAAACATGAATTATTAATAACTAATTGGACCACAAAGTAATTACACATACAACTCTCAGTTCTTAAATAAAATGGGATTGATAAGAGGTCTTGTATTGGATAATACTAACCTGTCTAACAGGATCCTGCTCTTGAGCTAGTCTCTCTGCCAGGCAGGTAACTTTGGCAAAGACTGGTGACAGGAGGTTTCTCATCAGTATTTCCTTTCTTTGTGCTTCAGTATTTCCAGATATAATTAGCATTGCAGCAGCTTCAAACACATACAACTGATCGTCATTTGTTAGCAAGGGTGTTACTGAAAAGGAACGAGACAAAAATAACTAATATAAAATATTAATTAATCAATGTGCCGTCCTCATAACACAAGGTTGGCAACCTTCATCATCATCATCATCGTTTCACAGCCATTTTCTACACTTGTGTGGGTTAGCTGAAATTACCTGATGGGAGTTCTCCATGCTGCATGGGCTCTTACACTCTCTTTCATCTGGTTCTTAACTCTAATATCAGTTTTTACAATTTTGGCTTGCCTGGGTCTTCTCCGCTCCTCATTTAGGCTCAAGCATTTCTTGATCCAATTAGTCTCATCAATTCTCCCCACATGCCCAAACTATCTCAGCCTACTTCTACGCAGAACTTCGTCAATACAGTACCCAACCACCCTCTTCACTCTGAACTGGAATCTACTGTCTTTCAGTGTCACATTGTACTTTCACATCACCATTCTCATTTCAAATCACAAAAGCCTGTTTATGTTGTCTTCTTTAACTGCCCATGTTTCACTGCCAAACAACATCATGTTTCTTACACCTGCCACATACATTCTTCCTTGCATGCAGAGGGAAGGTCTTCTTGCCATCAATAAAGGCAGCAACTCCCTAAACTTCCTCCAGCCACTTCTGACTCATGCAACCGAGCTGATGTCAGCATCCCCACCAGCAATGATCATGTCACCCAGGTAACAGAACTCATCAACACAGTCCAGGGAAATACAAGTATCCCTAATGTTGCTAAAGCCACACGATTACGTGCATATAAGGACACTTAAAAACAGCAACATCCTGGAGTCTGCCATCACAGAACTGCACCTCTTGTGTACCCAATTTCCATAATAACTGCACATTATGGAGCTTTTCACAGAGCACATGGTCATTTTCCACTTTCCACCATGGGTCCCTCACCCATGACATAAATCATTATTTGTGTTTTAGCCACATTCACTCTCAGGTCCTTTGACAATTCCATTCTTCCACTTCTTAAATTTCTCCACTGCCTCTTCAATACTACCAACTTTCAACACTAATTCATCAGAATACAACCACCATCAGGGCAAAACAATCCTAAAGTCCTGTGATATTGCCTCTAGCTCCATCATTAACAGAAGGGGGTTCAAGACAAGACCCTTGTATGAACCCCTATTTTTTTACCTCCATTTCCTCACTTCCTTGCCATTTACTCTCACAAATTGTTTCTAACATTCATATCATGCCCAAACTACTCAAGCAAGACACCATGGCACCCTGTCAAATGCCTTCTATGAGACTAGAAAGGTGAAGTAAAACCATCTTTTTCTAGGTATTTCTCTTATAGTTGCCTGATCACAAACAGCCTCTGTAGTTACCCTACCTGGCATTAATCCCAAGTGCATTTTGTTAATGTTCACTACCTCCTTTATCAATTTTTCAATCACTCTTTCCACAACTTTCAAAATGCAGCTAACAGCTTCAGGACCCTGTAATTCCATGTTCAAATACATCACCTTTACCATCGTAAATACTCCTGATCACACTCTTCCGATAATCAGCTGGAATGGTACATTTCCTCCTCATTGCATTGATCAATTTAGTCACCTGCAACATGATAGCATTGTCTAATGCTTTCAGCATTTCTGCAACTATTTCATTGTTTTCAGCCACCTTTCCATTATTCTTTTTGCCAACTGCTCTCCTTATCCACTCTTTATCAATCATTGGATATGGTCCATGTACTGATTTTGCTGTTCCTAGGGTGCCCATCCCATTTGTATTCCTAATTCAGCAGCTGATTTTAGTATTTCTCCAGGCATCTTTGATTATTCATTATCAACAACTATACTGTCTTGTATTACCATGGTCATTTCTCATGCACTGCTTACCAAAAACATCTTTGTTTCCACCATCTATTTGCCTTGCTATTCTGTATAACTAGCTTCTTGCATCCACACTATTAAGCATACATGTCTATGGAAATGAATCTTGTTAACTTTTCTTCACCTTGTATACCTCTCTTCTGGCCATGCACTTGGACTCCAGATATGACTCCTTGTTATAACCCATCTTCAATGCCTAAAGCAATATTCTTTTCTCCATTTTCACTCTGTCCACATTATCATTTCACCACCATGTTACTGCATGCCTGGCAGGGCTCTTCACCCAGCCACCCATCTTGTCAGCTGCATTTATCATATCTTTTAATTTGGTCCAACATCTCACTATACAACCTCTCACACTGTCACTTGCTGATTCTACTCTTCTCAGCTACAGCTCAATGACTTCACTTCCTCACATTGTACAAACATTTACACTTCCAGCTATGAACTCAACTGTAATAAGTTGGGTTCCTCCACTTTCATTGCACATTCATCTGTAAAGTTGCCAGCAAAAGTTTGTGAGAAGACTTTTGCTGACAACTGTATATTACATAGGTGAAGTTGTATTATTAGTTAATGTTGGTTCATAGGCTTAATAATCATGATTGGAAAAGTTGAGTGACAACCTGAAAAAGATCCCTGACCTGTACACCACCCCAAACCCAGCTACTGGCACCATCAAGAACTTGATGCCACAGCAAAAGCAATAAATTTTCCCCCGCCCTCAATAGAAGGCACCACGGGTGGGCACATCATCTGCTACCACAGGCCAACAACTAAACAGATTATGTACATATTCCAAGACCCAAAGTTCTTTTACTTCATCAGTCAACTTGAGTCTGAACACCTGCAGTCCAGGAAGCAGTTATTCAGACTCAAGACAATTTATAATTTGTTAAAGTGTTTTAAAATGTAATTAGTGCTGAAGTAAGAAAAGTGGTGTCATAAGGAAATAAGAATATTTTTTCCTTTGTCCTCTACCACTGGTCTGCTCTGGCCAGTCGGACCTTCAATGTGAGACTATTAAATATATTTTTAATGCTTAAATTCTCAAAAGAATCATCCAATACTTTTAATATTCAACTAAAATGTTTTAAAAGGTTTAATATCAAATGAGACAATAGATGAATTGATAAAAAACTAGATTGGTCAGTAACATCTGCTTACTAGATACAAATGATTAACAACACCCCAAGTTGTCTTGCTTCATCAGTCATCTTGAGTCTGAACACCTACAGTCTAGGAAGCAGTTGTTCAGCCTCAAGGTGTTATAGGTTTTTAAAAAGTGTTTTAAAATGATGGAATCAATGTTGAAGTGAGAAAAATTAGTATCGAGAAGGATCACTTTGCGCATGGTTTGGGGCTGCAGCCTCAAACCCTGTACAGTAAGTCCTCGCTTAACGTCAGGGTTACGTTCCTGAAAATGCAACGTTATACTTAACAATGTGAAGAGGATAAATTTTCCCCATAAAAAATACATAAAATATGGGAGTTATGTTCCTGAGCCTCCCTTTGCCCCATGAAATACATTACATATACATAAATTCAAAACTCCTTGTGTGATGCCTGGTGAGGTGCTTGTATGCATTACTATAGTGACGTTCATTGAGATTTTATGAGAGAAAAACTCAAAACTCCTCTACATGACAGATAAATAAATACCAATAGGTAACCTTGGTTGGCCAGTGGGCTGGTGCCAGCAGTCATAATACATCACCTCCCCTCCACTTCCAGCAAGATTGAAGGTGGTTTAGGCTTAAAAATAGTCTTATAAAATGGCACAGACTAAAGTTAGCAGAATATAAATTGCATTGCTGGAATCCGTGCAAAACAGTGAATAATATGAATAAAGACATCACATATTTTGCACAAGAGATAAAACTTTTAATCCCTTAAGTACATTTAAGTACTGTACATGTTTTTCAACTTATTTTTCAGTAGATACACCGGATAGTAACTTTCTTAATTTATTTTTACTCATTTATATGCACACAACAGCCTAAATACATATTGTTAAATGAATTTTGGGGTCTCTAAAATTTAACAATGTAGTACCGAAACGTTAAGCAGGCCGACGTTAAGCGAGGACTTACCGTACATGTATTTCCCATTGAAATACATAGAATGATTTTATGCAATTGAAGTTTGCATGAAATTATAAGTCCCACTATCACATTAAATTGAGGGTTCACTGTATTAAATAAATGACAAAGAAAAAGACAGTTCCAAAACAATAAAGATTTACTGCACTGTACTTACTTTGACCATTATTGGGAGGAGCCATCACCAAAAGTTCTGTTAACTGACTTAGAATATCTTCAGTATAACCAACAATATGGTTTTTGAGACAGCGTACCATGCGAGAAAACAAATAACTTGTTCTGCTTCGAACCTAATCAAGAGAAATGTAATTACAAATATATACAATTAATGACACCAAGAATACCTAATAATAAAACATTCAGAAAATGACATTCATTTGTACAATCATCTATATATATATAGTACAGTACATTGTCTAATTGAATTCCATAAAATAATTTCCTTGGAACTATCTGAATTGTATAAGTATAGTTTGTCACTCTCATTAGATGGTAAAAGGTAAGGTTGATGGATAAGATGACCACAACCGAGACTCACTCTTGGAAGCCGATTCCTCATGCCACGGTGGTCCAGGAAAGCTGCCAGAATCCCTGGGATGTATTGAGGTTCACACGAGAAGAACTTTTCATAGCGTGCCACGCACTCAAAAAACTGAAGTGAAACAGCTGGATGGTTATGACCCGATACTCCTGATGTTACAAGCAAGCGCATCATTTCCTGCATTGTAGATGTTTTTACCTGTAGAAGCAGAAAATTTGTTTTTACTAATAAAGCACAGGCTTTAAACCCAAATGTGAAATCGAGTCATAAAATCAGTAGTTATCTTAGTGTTTAAAATGAACAGCAGGAGTTTAAATGAATGACAGTGTAATGAGAATAAAGCTCACTCACTAATAATATAAAAGCATGATGTCTGCAATAGTTGTGAGGGTGATAGCATATTTCTGTTTTCTTTACTTACATATCTGGTTGTATGTTATGAGACTATTTCACATCTAACAAAGATTCAAATAAACATTTTTAGTGAATCATGCAAAAGCATTAAAATTAATCTGAGAATATAAACAACACTATAAAACAACCCAAAGACTCACCTCCTTACCGGAGCTCCAGTCAAAGAAATAATCACTGAGCAGAAGGGAACAAAGGTACTTACCTCCAATATAATCAGATCAGCTAATGAAAAGGAAGAAAAAGTTTTTCACATCTCATCCTAGGTTTTTCTTTTTCCTCCAAGAGCTATTAACCTTTCATTGCCAAAATCGAGGAATTGTGATTCAAATTAAAACTCCCTTCAGTGCCTAAATTGCAAACATCTCACAGGGGATGGAGGGGGGGGGGGACACACACACATACTCTGAGGCAAGTGGCAACAAGTTTCCACTTTAAATCAACTCTGTTTGACACTTAGTGGGTAAATGATGACACATGGGACAACTGATGCACCACCACCCACACACACCTTCACACACCTATGCTTCCTTCCTGTCTCCTCACAATTACATCAAAATTTTGGGAAGTTAGTGGTGCTGTCGCATCTGAATATGTTGTGCAAAAGTGTATTGCATAGAATGACAGCATGAATTAGTGAAACATTTAGCTAAATTACAATGTTTTAAAAATGGCTTCCCATTGCATAAGCAGGTGTTTTATTCTTTGTCCATGGTAGGCTTCCTTTTCTTGTTTCCATTCCCATTATTGATACAAAAACATGAGGATTAACAATTTCAGTGTATGTTGTGCTAAACTATGATGCTTTCATGAAATAAAGGTAGGCACTTCCTTGCACAATTCATGGATAAACTCCAAAAAATGCTAACCAAGGTATTACTGTGATGGTCACTCCTGGGTTTTTGGGAATATCCAATTAACATATTTTCATTTAACTAGCTTCATTCAAAAATGAATTGGGATCAGTATGGACATACATGATGTCCAACATTTTATGAAAGACTGATGCATGTGTAAATAAAGATGTGCGTACATCATAATTATAATCTTTCCTAAGAATGATTTTATAATTGTATGATCAGTGGTCACCTTACAAAGACCTTAAATGACTTTTCGTAAAATGAGGGATGACTGTAATCTGATCCACCATTTACCAGTTCTTACAAAACTGACAGGAAAAGTATCTTACCAGCACACCTCACTACTGTGCAGGTACACCAAACAGTATCACTGACCTGCGACATATGTTCCTGAAGAGCAGCTGGGTCACCCACCTGGCTGGGCCCAGAGAAGTGGTTGCCATGAGAAGCAGGTAAAGCTTCACCAAGGTTATACAGTAGTGACACTGCTGCCTCCACATCCTCATAAGATGATGCCTGCCATCGATTTAATGTCGTCACTACATATTCCTTGCTTACCTAGTTAAGAGAATAGTATCAAAATTATGATAAAGAAGACATATGTTTGTGAAATCTACACTGGAACAAAATTCATAGATTATAACAAAATCATGAAATCAAAGGATTAATAAAAATAATAATAACAATAATACTTCTCTACGCTCAATAATGTTTGCATAACCCTGCTAAAAACTTAGGTGGGATGGAAGCACCTAGATATGTATCAACATGCCTCTCTTCATATGCAGTGCAGGCATAACAAAGAACTTAACATACCAGTGTACAATAGTGTATTGTATAAGTACTGTACAGTATACCTGTATTCTAAATTAAAATATATAACAGCATACAGAGAAGGTAATTAGAGTACGTACATAGTATATATTCACATATCATAGGAAAAATATGCTGACTGTACTTACTTTTAACACAAGTTCAGGTATCAGTGCAGCTAGATTATCAAAAACAACTTTAAGCTTCTTTCGGTAATCATCAAACATAGCTTCATCTTCTCCAGCCTGTTCAAAGTTGTAAGATTCATCATATTTTGTCTTGGTGATGACTACATACAGCATGTTTTCAAGCAGACCACGTTCTACATTTGTAATGTGACCAATTTGCTTAATCAACTGAAAAAAGAAAAAAATATGTAAATAATGTTTGCAAATACCCACAGTTGTGACTTATTATAAAAGGTAGAGAAAATTTAGAAGGAAACAAAAGTCAATGAGTTTATTTGGAAGTGAGATGGGAATCTGGTCACCTGGCCATACAGAATGATGAGCAAAGGAGGCATCATCATGAAATTTTTGGGGGAACAGAACCTTGTTGTCATATTCAAATCATCCATCCATATTTACAGATACACACAGTACCTGTACTCCATTTAAATTGTAACAAAATTGTACTGAAAACTGGCTGACGAATTAATTTCGCAAGTATAAGCTGTCAGACAAACATACACAATCAATAACTGTTATTTGTCGAGTCACATCCTAAAATATAGGAACAATTAACGACTCAAGTAACAGTTGGGAATATTTAACTGTCACTCATGGAAAAAAATAAATAAATCATAAAAAATTAAGTATTAAGGAGGGGTTACATTTACTTGGTTTTAAAACAGGGACTATTATTGTGTGTTATCATATGCAAACCTGATATGGCTCTACACTAGATGTCTAAAACAAAGCAAAAACTACAGTTATCATGTGTATTGCATAGATTTACATTTAATATATTTACATTTGTTGACTTTGTATTGAAAATAGTTATCTATGAATTAAGTTATTAGTTTTGTAAAATAATGCTCTTCAAGGGAACAAAAATAGACTAAAAGGAAAAGTATAGACTGGAATTTACGGTGCACATAAACTCTGACGTAAGATGCACTTCCTATATCACAAGCATCATGTGCTGCAGCTTTCAATAAATAAGCAGAATGAGAATAAGTTAGAGTCCTGGGAGGAGAAGGGGTTTAATGGGTGTATGACTTCTTGGCTGGGAGTCCCAGAAACTGACTGCAGCACTTGGCTGGGAGTCCCAGAAACTGGCTTCAGCAAAGTTTCAACAACTAATAATAATACACAATATATAAAACAATTTTAAGGTTCATAGGTCACCTTACCTGATCATCATATGATACATCCAAACATTTTCAGGCTTTCTTTACTAATATATGGCACCATTTATACGGCATGCTTGGGACTTGGGGTTTGCCAGATTTAATTTTTTTTTGTCTGGAATTTGGAGCGCCAGGCCCAAGATGCACAACATGTACAGTATATCCTCTGTAACTGGCTGTGAAGCCTCTGTTCAAATCAGTAGATTCACTCAAAAAAGTAGCTTTAACTATACACAGTAACTTAAACAAACAGCAATAACAAAGGTATATAAAGAGTACAGTAATAATGAAAGTAAAAAAACAGTAAAAAAATTATAAAATCTAGAGTAAACACAGAGACACAGTCAGCTGATACTCGCCTTAGCAACAGTACCCTGCCGCAGACCCTGTGACTTCTACACACACACCACAGCTTCACGATGTAAACTCATAGATACGTATGACCTTATGCATTCGAATAATTATTCATTTAAATAATCTTTGCATTTTCTGTGTGTAGCATTGTGTGCCTGTAAAAAAAAAAAAAAGAAAAAAAAAGTGTATCTACCCTAAATCATGAGTTGAACAATACTTCATACTTTATGTTAATTATCATTATTTTTTCACTTTTTGCATGTAAGATTCAGAGTGTATGTAATTGAGTAAAAATAATGAAGAAAATTACATATATCAACCTGAAATTATGAGAAGAAAAATAACCAAAACATATACAGTAGCTCACATGTGGGGGAATGGTTGAAAATATCCCCACTCAGCTCGGGAATTACTTTAGGTGCCCCTTAAACCCCCAAAAAAACCCGGAAGTTTTTGGAGCATTCTGGATACCAGGATGCCGAATAAACAGTTCTATACCTATATTCCCAGATTTTTTATTTCTCTCTGGGGACCACAGCTTTTAATTTCATTCATTCCTCTCAGCCCCAACCTTCCCCCATTAATATTGCTAATACTGTACCAGCATATGGCTAAAGTATCTCCATATTCTTATTCTATAAATTTCAAGTCTGTCTCTTTGTTTGGGCTAATCTTAGTACAGTGAACCCTCGAAGATCCAGACTAAAAGGGAGGACCACCTGTCCGGAAAAAAACAATTGTCCGTATTTTCCAGTGAATGAACTAAAATTAAAAAACCTAACAATTAATGACACAAAAAACACCCAAAATACAGTACTGTACCACATTTTACGGTGTATAAGACACACCCTCATTTTAGCAGGGAGTATTAAGGAAAAAACTTTTGTGTTTACTTCCCTCCTGTAGCCATAGTTTTCTGAAAATAATATATACAGTACCAGGAAATGTGAGGAATAAATAAAAAATAATACCAATAAATAAGTTACAACACAAAATACTGTACAGGATGCATTGCCAAATCAGTAAACAAAAGCCAAATGAAAGTTTAACACAGTCGCCATTTGCATACACTCCCTGCTTCACCATAGCAACAGAGACCAGCTGGGACACCAATTCCTTAGCAATGATCCCCACCCCCTAAACTCTGCACTCTCCTCCCATTCCCTCACTGAGCCATCTAAGTAGTGTGCAAAGAAATGTATACTGTATTCCCTTTGTGTTTGCCCTTAGGACAATTATTTTGTTTACTTTTTTTCACAATATTTATGTAGGATGGTGTGTGCATGTAACGGAGTAAAAATAAATGAAGAAAGTTACGTATATCTACCCAAAAATATGTGTTGAAAAACAACCATAACACCTCACAGCTTGGCCCAGTTACAGTGACAAGTATAACCTGGCTACAATGCCATGATTAATCACTATTATATCAGTAAACACTAATAATAACAGCAAATCCAGTGAAATATGACAGGAAGTGAGGAGAGTTACAACAGCAGACGACGCTCTAACTAATGGTCATTCATTTGCTCCCATTGCCAAGCATACGATCGAAATACATACGGTAAAAATATATATCTGTAGTCAAATTGAAAACGGTGATGGGCACAGTGATAAATTATATAAACCATGCATTTACCTCCAATAAATAATAAAAAACATTGTATCATTACTAGAGTTAATGAAATAATACGTACGTAATCCCACAAACAACAATTGACAACTCTGTTTATGTTTCCCGCCTTGGGACCTGTGTCATACATGCTGAGATCTTAGTTATAAGGACCTAAGATGATCTTTGCTCTGTTTCGGGAATGTTTCTTAGGGAGGCTTCTTAGCCCCAGAACCCCAAATTTTGCCCGAATCTTTCGCAATCCGGATTTACCGGGTCCTAATCTTTGAGGATTCACTGCATTAATATAACTACCCAGTAAAAATCAGTATACTCTTGTAACACCAAATTTTTAAGGCCAATTCTTCTCCTTGTGGCTTCTTCTGGATGTGTTCATGTTCTTGGCACCTACAAATGAATGATTACATATTACATTTCAATAATCTTTTCCTCAAAACTATATTTATTCCCTCTCTAATAGACTTCCAAGATTATTTAATGCATATTTTTCTGTTCTTATTTCAATTCCTTCATCATTTCTAACAACTTCTCTCATTAAAATTCTAAATAGAGTAAATATATATGTACTGTAATGTCGGAAATAGCAGACAACAGACAGTTACCCTAAAACAACAAATTCATTATTCAATAACAATGCAGTTTCCTGATACAGTACCAGTATTGATTTATATAATTCCAATATATCTACCATTACTACCCATTCTCTCCAAGACTTCTACAGGTCTATTGCATTCTACTTTATCAAATACTTTTTCAAAATCCACAAAACAGACATACTGTCCATATTCCCTTGAAATCCCTTTAGTCCTTTTGCGAACAATTCAATCTTCAGATAAATCACAGTATATTCTAGGATAAAAAAATAATAAAAAAATAAAGCTTTAAAAGCCTCAATTATCACACTAATTATCATAATTTGGGTGCATTCTAAGGCTGCTGAATTATAAGTGATAATAATTTTTTTTAATTACTGGGAAGGTCTCCTTTCTATGAAATAGAATTATTCATTTAAATCATGTATTTGATCCCCTTTCTGCCCATCTGTTTTATTTGTCAGGTAACAACAAATACTATCGTGCATAGTATTTGTTGTTACTTTAAGAAAATTCTGTTTATTGGCAGTGTACAGTTCAAATGAACTGTAGAACATCTAAGGAGATTCAATGGAAAATACCATACAGTACTCCACGGTTTCAAGAGGAAGAAAAGTAGGGAGTGATCTTGTTGAGCAAAGTGGATAATTCACAAATCCAGCATGCTCTTGATCCCAATACTGCTAGATTTGTGAGGTCATGCTGTACATTAGATTTGTATATTAATACAAGTAGATCTCAATTTACACGAGATACTTTCCTAAACCATCTCTTGCTATATGAATTTGTGCTAAATGAATAATAATAAAAGAAACACACATTGAAAACCAATAAAAGTTGAGAGATACATGTTGGAAGGAATGAGAGGGCATGCAAGAGCAGACTATGGCACCAAAGCCCCGAAACATACGCGAAAAAATACCTTGATACACTTCTTTTTTTCTCACTTCAACATAAATTCCGTCTTCTCAAAACACTTCTTAAAAATTTATCTCGCTTCGTGTCTGAACAACCGCAGTTGTTTAGACTCAATGTGACTCATGAAACAAAAGAACTAATGATGGATTTTTTTTTGTTTATTTGTGGTGTTGAGTGGGTGGCTTAGCAGTGGCTATGCTAACAGAGGACATGCCTACTCATGCTGCCACCTACTGAGGACAAAGAAACTATGGAAACTGCTTCATCGACTGTCTTTGGTTGATATTTATTCATTGAACCTTAAAGACCTTACTGTATTTAATAAAGCATACAGTATTAAAAGTATTTAATGTTTCTCCAAGGGGTCATGGCCTAAAATTAATTTAAAAAAATTTCAGTTATGAACTGTTGTACAGTAAAAACCTATCAATGAATGTTGTGACAATAAGAGTTAAGTTGTACAGTAATAACCTGCCAAAGAAGTAGTGACAATAAGAGTTAAGTTGTACAGCAATAACCTGCCAGATAATGTGGTTACATTAAGAGTTGTGAATTGTTTAAATAACCTGCATTAGCACAAATGGTATGTATGGTTGCCTCATGAAAGCCCATTGTACCTGTAATGTCGGCAGTGCATTCTCCCTTTTCAAACATCTAATCATTTTCATTTTCATCTCTACTAAAATAGTTTTTCTATGTCTCTTGCTATCAGCACCATTCTTGTTACTTTTTGGTTGTTTAGCATTCATGTTTGTGAGGTTTGATAAGGACAAACAAAAAACAAAAAAAAAACAAAAACAGAACTGCCAGTCACTGCAATAAGAGTGTGACCAAAAGAGCAGTGGGAGTGAACTAAGGTGGTGAATCATAGGAGGCAGGATGATGTTGAGGCTCATGTTAAACTGAATTTTTTTTTACACTAAGTAAACTTTTATCTTAATGTGTACTTCATGTTATGTTGACCCATGTTAAGTGGGGACAACTTGTACCCATTCTTTTAGTTAACATATCAAGTGAAAATAATAGTTATATTTGGATTAAACTTTTGGGACTCATAAACTTTATTCCATTTTTACTAGGAGACCAATTCATTTAGAATAAAATGCTATTCACAATCCAGTGATTAGGAACTTAATCCACAGATTGGACAGATTTTGTTGCATGTGTACGGCTACCCTTACCTGGATGTAATCCCGAGCAAAGTCAAACACTGCTGCAGATATATCATCATAATCACTGGCCATAAAAGTTAGGAGCAGTGTAACTTTGTTTTCTACAGCTAGTCGTACCATTTCCCTTTTGGTATTGTCTTTTTTTTCTAATCTGCAAAAAAAAAAGAAAATTAAATGGAATAAAGTGCTAATACAATAAATTGTTAAACCATGTCCTGCAATGCGCTAACTCCCCCTTGATGAAAACATTTACATGTATCCCTCGCTCAATGAGAGTTCAAGATACGAAGATTCGTTTATACGAATTTCCCAAATTAACACTTCTTTTTCAATAAACAAATATTCAAATCGCGCACCCCCGGGAGTCAGCTGAGGAGGTCATCTTGGAGATGGGCCGACGTATTCTCGCTCAAAGATCACAACAAATGCCCCTCCCTCTCGCATTTTTCCCCAACCTGCAGCTTTTACTCCGCCATTTCCCACCACTTGTGCCGAGCCCTGACTGCCCGCCATTCAGTTCATTTGTTTTAATTCACAGCCGAGGGTGGTGGGGTGCTTATTTAAGTGTTATACTTATAGTCAGATAGACAGCCAGCCAAATCATAGATGTGTGTACTAATGCAATTTTTTTGTTTAAAGAAGTAATTGGACCTGTAGGCATCAAGAAAATGATGGGTACCACCCTTGGACTGCAAGACCCAATCAAGACATACAGGGGGCAGTTTAATTTTGTAGTGATGCACCAATGGTAAGTTTACTGTACTGTATGTATAGACATTTTGAGATATTTTGCTTTCACTAGATTTAATTTCTGATGAGGCTTTATCTGAAGAAGAAATGCTAACTTATCCATTTAAAATTTTATTCTTTCCACTGATATCAGATCAAACTCTGGGAGACTAACACATCAGCATTTCCAGTCAAATATTTTGAATCAGAGTCTTACCACTGCTCCATCTGGCGATCCTGTGAGCTATGATAAATCAAACACTACTGTACATGTATTTTATTTTTAGCCTAGTTTACCAATCATAAATCTTAATACAGTATAATTATGTACAGTATGTTACTGTAATTATATGTCTTTATAAACTGACCAGGTCTGGTAGGAGAATCCCTGAGATGTCTGTGTCAGCACCTCAGAATTTTCCCATGATGAGAAAAATTACGAAAATAACGAGAAACTTTTCGTACCTTCGGATTTTTCTTACGTAAACTGAATACAGGGGTGGAGTTTGGAAATGTAACTTCAGATTTTCGTAAACCAAATCTTCGTAAATAGGAGACGTCCTTTATTTTACTCACCTAGAATAGTAGTCTTCCATTAAAAAGAGATTGTTCAATTTTCTATTTATTCAATCAAATTGTTCTCAAAACATGCAAGAGTAAAACTGATAAGTGTATGAAGGAAAATGAAACCAGTGATATTTACTTGAATGATAAAATATAACATATTGAAGAAACTTACTTCTGCCACGCCAGAATGAGCTGAACTCCAATCCCATTGATGAGTCGAGCAAGCTTAACAAGGAAGTCGGAGTCGTCATCCTGTAGATGATTAATTAGTCATAAAAAACTTGGATGACCACTGCTAATATTTCGTGGCTGTTTTAGGCCTCTTCTATCTGCTTATTATCTACTCTTATTTCATACATATTTATAGTCTTCCACTCTCCTAAACTAATGCCTTTACTCTATCATAATTATAGAATATTCAGGAACTAATTCTCTTTACTGTAATACTTCTACAGGTACTTTGTTCATTAATGCTTACAGAAAATTCCTTCCGTAACATGTACTGTACAGTATTCCAAATCTACAAATAAAGAATCCTGATACAGGTATACTGTATATGTTCTGATACACCAAATCACTCCAGCTCCACTTTCAACTTAACAAATTTCTTAATCCACTATATTGTACAGTAATCACTATCATTATCAATATCTTACAATTAGGTTTCAGCCTAAATGTCAATCCAGCATACCTGTATATCTTAACAATAATAAAATGCATGATATGATGGTAAAAGTACATCAGGTAGGACAAAAAAAAAAACTGTAAAAAAAAAAAATTCAAAATCAATACCTGGTAAATACTTTAGCATAGTGTACTTGGAAAGCTGACACTTAATCAAGACGGTATTTCATTCCACCTCAAAAATGTAATTTTACATTAAATTTCCTGAAATCCTTAATAAAATAAAATGGGATTTACAGAAACTGAAAAAAACATACAGATAGAATATAAAACTGGAACTCAAATAAATTTCTGACACTGTTGGAAGGACTTGAAGAACAAGAACCTGATAACCAAAATTCAGTACAATTACAGAAAAGTTATTAGGGTATGAAAAAAACAACAACTTTTCAGACCAGTCAAACTGAAAATGACTAGACCATAAATGGAAAGAAGTAAACAGATCAAAGTAAGCGACATTCATAAAGCAATTCACATATAAATAAAAAGGGAATGATGACAGGATGAACAAATTTTTCTCAAAAACGTATGTAAGAAGATAGTGGCTGATGACAGGAGCCATAACTGCTAGGAAAAGTAGAAAAAGTTTAGAATGATAAAAGAAATGAACCAAAAATGAAATACATAAATTGGGTGGGATATTAAAAAGTAAATGATGATAATATTACATGTGATGCAGAGAAAAGTATAAAGAGGTGGGCAGAGTAAGAGAAGAACTGTGTACACTGATATAGCTGAGGTAAAAACTGAAAAAGTCGGGCTACTAATTTGGGATTCAGAAGTTGAGACGAACAAAATGAAGAAGAATTCTAAATCATAAAAACAAGATTGGGATTTTATGCATGACAAAAACATTTAATTCTTATCTAATAAACGGAAGACCTTCACAGTGATATAAAAAACTAAAAAAATGTGTTACTGTATTACTAGAAATGGAACTTAAGGGTGTAACCAGTTTAAGATAATTAGTTTAATAAGTAATACATGCATTTTATTAAACAATTCTAAATAGGATAAAAACTGGAACAGACAATTAATTACAGTACAGTAACCCTCACTTTACGCGGTTAATGTAACCCGGAGGGTCCCGCGTAAAGTGAGAAACGCGTAAAGTGAATAACATAACATATGGGATTAATTGAAATGGAGTCCGGGCCGATCCCCAAACTCCACTTTTTGACGAGTTGTGAAGATGGTATGCACACACAATTAATAATTAAGAGAAATATCAATAATATTAGGTTTTTATGTAGGGGATGGGCGGTTGGTTCCGAGGCAGAGGGCAGATTATTGGCCCTACCTGTACTTGTATCATTGTATCACTATCCTCCACAGCTTGCAGGGCCTCTTTGTCAAACTCCCCAAAGTCCATATAAGTCCATATCCTCACCATAATTATCACTATCACTGACTTGTGTGGTTGAAGAACTGGTAATGTTTTGATGACTGGGCGACCTTGTGCGCACCATAGCTTACACAACATGGCGGATGGCGGGAGGTTTGGATCTAAAAGTTCTTCGTCGAATTACTTCAAATTTTAACGCCACTTTCTTCATGCTATTCTCCTGCATGGGACCAAGTTTTAAGGCTAAGTGGCACCCTGTCTATGTGGGGTAGACAACAGTTATGTGTCTGGCTCAGTAAGTGAGAGGTGTGTGTGTTCCGGTCGTGATTTAAAAATGGCTACCGTGGCATTTGCGCCACTATCTCCAAATATTTATTACTTACGATCACGATATTTATTCTTATGAAGTGATACAGTGAAGTGTATTGAAACATTTACAGCTCCTCCCTGACTTACGACCTACTCGGCTTACGTCCACCTGCACTTACGACCTGCCTGTCGTACCAAAATTTGGTCAAATTACGTATTTTTGAGTCCCAAAGTCAGTACAGACAAAATTTTCATCTGTAATTCACTTTAAAATGGCTGGCAAGCTTAAAAGTGAGTGTTTTGTGGTGCTGAGAAGAAAAAGAGACCCCCATTTTATATTTTCTATGTATTATTTAAGCATTTCCGACTTACGACCTGGATGTCGGTCCCTAACCCCATCGTAAGTCGGGGAGCAGCTGTATAATGAAATATTGAAATATTTTTTAATTTGTGAGACATTGGTGCAATGGCCACATGGCCAAGTGGATGTTATCTCCAAATATTTATAAGTTATAACCTTGATATTTATTCTTATGATAAAGTGGTGTGTATTGAAATATATACTGTATAATGAAATAGTGAAAGATTTTAGGAATTTATGAGACATTGGTGAAACGGCTACTCATAATACAGTCGCACAAAAGTATGTTGTAATATATAGGCCTAGCTTTGAAAAATAATAAGTGATAGTGAAAAAATGTAGTGCAGTAGAGGCATGCATATGGTGAATTATAATGAATATATTGTGCTTATTTGATAGGTATTCAAAAGGCTATTGCCATTTTCGTGCATATGCCAAGGCCGACCTCGTCTGAGTGTTAAGTGGAAATATTATTGCTAAAATTAAAATTTGTGTCACAGAAACTTCTAACTGGTCTATTTCTCTTCCTCAGTATGTGTAAAGTAAAAGTCCTTAATAAAAAAAAATGCTTTCGAAAAAAAAAAAAAAAATGTATAAACATTTTGGCGACTGCACACCCAACCACCATTTTATTTTACTTTTTATTCTGTAACTCCGTTATTTTTTAAACTCTCTTTTTTCTGATTACACCATTGTCTTCCTCATGATTGACTCTTTCTTACCATGTGCATTTTATACTGACTGATGCAATGATGTGGGTACAGCATGAAGAGGAATCAACAGTAAACTCTCACTTTTCACTACCTCGCCAAAATGGCTTTTATTTTTATTTTGTTTTACTTTTGAGGATTTCATGCAATTTCCAGTATTTTTTATGTAGGAAGGCATCATTTGAATAAATATTTGACAATATCTTAGCCACGAATATCGCTCGGGAAAAAATTATCTCCTCCGCAATTTCTGGTCATTTTACGCTTTCAAATGTGGTCCTGACACAGGCTCGTTCAATAAATTCGGCTGATCCCGAGAGGGTTAATGGGTAATATTGTGGGTAGAAGGAACAGGGTCAATGCTAGGTCTGCGGTATACTTTAACCAGCACATAAAGCCAGCCTCCCCAGCTGAATTCCGGGGTGCACGATTTGAATTTTTGCTCAGACCAAAACTGGTATAAGTGAGGGATTTTTTGTTAAATAAGAAAAAGGTATTAAATTAGAAAATTAATTTCAAGTGATTTTTTACATATTGAATGTTAATAAGTGAGGATGCCTGTACTGCATGCTTCTTCCTCATTCATGATGGTATAAAAAAGGAAAAGGTACTGTACTGTACTTACATCTACTGGTTTTAAGACACCTGCTTGATCCAACACTGTGACAAAAGACTCTATAAGTTGGGTTTTGGTGACAGGGTCCATGCCTTTTGTGATGATTTCATGGATACAGTCAGCAGCAGCTTCCCGAATTAGAGCCTCCTTAAGGTGATCCACCAGTTTACACACAAATCTAGAATTTATATATTTATTCCAGGATAATAAATTTAGACAATATAAAAACACTATATCAGGAGAAACAAAATTGGGGGTATTTCAAAGTGCTGAATATAATCAGAATGGTTATAAATGTAACTGAAAATATGAAGAGTGATCGGTATTTACATGTCTGAAATTTGTATGAAACAAGCTGAAGAGAAAAAGAGAGGTGTGTTGGAGGTAAGAGAGGAGAGTTTAATCTGAAGAGTCCTTCTCAATTCAGGATGATATCTGCAGTCACTAACCACTACTTTGATAAAAAAAATTTTTGATTATCAAGAAACAATATCTTAATCAAGCCTTGTTCATTAATATCTTGTTTTATTACTTACAATAGGCTAAACATTAAGTTAGTGACTAGTGATGGGTTGCTTTACACTGTTTCCTCAAAATACTGTTAATATTTTCATACTAAAGAAAATGTATACTGAATGTAGTTATGTAAAATTTCTTATGAAAACTAACTACAGCTACTCCTCGACTTACGACCTACTCGACTTACGACCACCTGGACATACGACCGCCTCAGTCGTACCCAAATTTTGTCAAATTACGTATTTTCGAATCCCGACGTTAGTGATTGCGCTATGTACTGACAAAATTTTCGTTTGTAATTCACTTTAAAATGGCTGGCACGCTTAAAAGTGAGAGTTTTGTGGTGCCGAGAAGAAAAAGAGACACCCAATTTAGATTTTCTATGTATTATTTAAGCATTTTCGACTTACGACCCGGATTTGAGTCCCTAACCCCGTCGGAAGTCGAGGAGCAGCTGTACTGTATACTGTATATCTTCACCAGCAGAAAGGACCTACTGAACAAGAGTGAAAGTATTTACTCCATTTATGTTACAAACGGTTTAAAACCATAAAGAAAAAACATTTCACAACATATCACATTGTATTACTGTACATGTATTAAGCCATTTCTATATTAAGTAAGAAAATAATATTATGGATTTAACTAACAGTTTATACTAAAAATTATCTTCAACATGTCTGATGAGAGGCAACTCACCTGTCATTTGCAATCAGCGATATATCAATCCAGGCGATGTAGGCACCAATCACGTCATGGCATTGACACACCAGCTCCGGGTGAGATTTGTCATACTTAACCTAGAAATAATTCTTACTTTTAGTGTCTTAAAAAAACAAAAACAAATTTCTTATAACAATGTGTAGACAAAGTCTTTACATCAAAGACAATACAGTATGCAGAGATATTCTGGTGAAGATATGTTTGTGGTATTTATGGATCAAAATTAAAGCATTTAATACAGAAGAGAGAAAGAAATGTGGAATATTCTTAAAATATATGGAGCATATGGGAAATTGTTGAATGCTGTCCTAATTTCTTACAAGAGTGAAACATAAATCAGAGTACCGTATGTTGAGATGAGAAAAAATAGTTTGGCAAAGTTTGGTTAAAAAGATGTGTGAACTACAGAGGATTTATTGAAAATATTTTTAAACATGCCTACTCTTGTATTTACAAAATTGATTTATGGAAGAGTGACACTTAACACATTTATCTATCAATATACAGTATCAACAAATCAGGGAAGAAACAGTGTCACTATTTTCTTTGACATGAAACCTTGAGCAATTCAATTGCAATCACTTCTATATTTGTTTACAAACACACATTTTTCCTACTTACCGGTTTTAACACATTAATTAGGTTTAACAAATAGTAAGTAATTTAAAACAAAGATTAAATTATTTCACTTACTAAAATGTCATACCAGGAATTTGTCAAATCAACAACACAGTGTTCTCTCATGGTATCCTTAATCCTGCTATTACGATCAGTTTCTGCTTGACTATGTATAATTTCTCGATCAACAACCTGAAAGAACAAAATTTAAAATGCTTTAACACAAATTCATATCGTCAACAACTAGATAAAGTAGGTTAGGTATCTAGAGACCAGCAACCTATTTTTTCATATGTAAACCTGAATATCAATGGGAAGATTCTTAAAAGGATGAATCTACATCTCCTCAATAAATACTTTCTCACCCACCAAAGAGGGAAGGTGCAGATGAAGGGAGAGATGTTCCCTCATAAAGTGACTGGTAGACAATGACAATATATATATACAGTATAGTCTTCATTTACGCGGTCAATTGAATCCGTGGAGGACCGCATAAAACGAGAAACGCGAAAACGAAATAACAGAACATATGGGATTAATTGAAATAGAGACTGGGCCGATCCCGAAACTACACTTTTTCCAACACAATACGTATGTTGTAGTAAAAATAATATCTTAATTTTATGATGGTATGCTCACACAATTATTATTAAAGAGAAATACAATCGCCGGTTAATGTCCATTCAAATAATGGACTCAACTCCCCCCCCCCCTTCCCACGCTCGCTGGCTCCTCCCTCTCTGAGAAATGTTTGGGTGGAAACACTAGGTTTTTAGGTTTAGTAATAAATAATACCTCACACTATGGTTAGGATAATATAATTGACATTGCTGGATTCCTTGCAAGACTGTGAATAATTTGAATATAAACGTCATAAATTTTGCACATAAGATAAAATTTTTGCTCTCTCTAATAAAATTGTTAAATTAGATCTAAAATTTATATGTCTAATGCAAATTTTAGGATGTTTATATTTAAATTAATCACCATCTTATGAGAATTCCAGCAATGTAAATTATATTCTGGCCGGGTAATTTCTATGAATTTTATGAGCTAAAAACAAATCTCTTCAGTAAATAAACAAATTATACTTCACCAGACACTATCTTTCAATCAAAATACCCCACCTCCCGCTCCCCCCCTCTTCCCACGCTTGCTGACTCCCTCCCTACCAGAGAAAAGTTTGGGGAAAAACACTAGGCTTACAGGTTTAGTAATAAATAATACCTCAGACTAAAGTTAGGATAATATAATTGACATTGCTGGATTCCTTGCAAGACTGCGAATAATTTGAATATAAACGTCATGTATTTTGCACAAAAGATAAAATTTTTGCTCTCTAATAAAATTCTTAAATTAGATCTAAAATTTGTATGTCTAATGCAAATTTTAGGTTGTTTATATTTAAATTGATCACCATCTTATAAGAATTCCAGCAATGTAAATTATATTCTGACCGGGTAATTTCTATGACGGGTTTCAATCATTCCCTTCAACTTGCCCGTCACCTGAACGTCCTTAATTAAGGCGTTTACAAATATACAGTATAGTCTCGATTTATGCAGATTTGGTTTACGCGTTTGGTCATTTACGCGGCACCTTACCAGACTGACAATTTTTATTTACACGGTTCATTCCATCATTTACGCGGGAAGCAGCACGGGCAGGGTGTGCACAAGGTCGCCCAGCTGAAGATATTTGTCTTTAGCTCATAAAATTCATAGAAATTACCTGGCCAGAATATAATTTACATTGCTGGAATTCTTATATGATGGTGATTAATTTAAATATAAACAACCTAAAATTTGCATTAGACATACAAATTTTAGATCTAATTTAGGAATTTTATTAGAGAGAGCAAAAATTTTATATTTTGTGCAAATTGTATGACGTTTATATTCAAATTATTCGCAGTCTTCCAAGGAATCCAGCAATGTCAATTATATTATCCTAACCATAGTGTGAGGTATTATTTACTACTTAACCTAAAAACCTAGTGTTTTCACCCAAACATTTCTCAGGGAGGGAGGAGAGCCAGCAAGCATGGGAAGGGGGGGGGGGGGTTGAGTCCATTATTTGAATGAACATTAACCTGCGACTGTATTTCTCTTAAATATTAATTGTGTGTGCATACCATCATAAAATTAAGATGTTATTTTTACTACAACGTACGTATTGTGTCGGAAAAAGTGTAGTTTGGGGGTCGGCCCAGTCTCTATTTCAATTAATCCCATATGTTCTGTTATTTCGTTTACGCATTTCTTGTTTTACGCGGACCTCAACGGGTTCAATTGACCGCGTAAATGAAGACTATACTGTACAGTATTTTGCATTTACACTTTCTATTACCATTCATCAAATTGCATCAAAAGCATAAATAGTGAATTCTGACTTAATTTACACAATTCTACTAGAGCACATAAAAAGTAAATCGGACTCATTTTACTGAATCGTGATGTATTTACATTCATCAGATGCAATCAACAAACAATTCTAATCAGTAAAAAAGTAAACCATTGAACTCAGCTTACCTCGCCATCAATGGCAAGAAGTATCCTTAGGTACAGATCAACAGCATGTGATCCCAGTTGAAGCATGGACAAAAGGTCAGCTATGAATGTTGGCCAACGAGAAGGGTAATCCACCACAAACATCAACGACAATAACTGAGCCGTTTTATTCTGGATAAATACCTGAAAATTCAATATTACTGTACTGCTATTCACCTTCAGTAAGCTTTAAATACTGAATATAAAATCTGAGTCAGGAATATACACTATACCCTCATTAATTGGTCAAAAAATGGGCTCTGGGTCACTTAAATAACCTAAACATCTGAATTAACCAAATTAAGACAGGCATGCACACACAGGAGACCTACGAAGGTCTACTATCATAAATAATGTATAAGAACATAAAATAAAGGAACTACTAAAGTGCAAGAGGCTGAAAAGGTAGTGAGAAGTGAGCAAGTTTTAGCCAGGCGAGCGGGCGGGGATATCCTGCACACGGCACCACCGGGCTAATGCATAACAATGATGTCATCCGCTGGGGCATTTAAACATAAGTAAATTTTGTGTCAGTTCTGAAGGGGGTAATTGGGGGCTATTTGAGCATATAAAAGAAAAGTGGATCATGGGGGTTCATAACACTATACAGCTGGACCACCAAGGGGTTGAAGTAAGTGGTAACATTTAGGAAGAGGGTTAGTGCTATTAACATTTACCGTAAAGTCCGTATCAGATTGCATTGATGAGCAACACTGGATATTTCATTTATACTCTTTGGATTTTATCACATTCCAACCCCAACTGTCATGTGGTATAACTCCATAACTATGGGGTACTGACACTATGGTCATAGAGTCTTTATACTTATGTAGTTATCAGGAATACACTCCTGAGGTATGAAATGTATTTCCAAAACACCCTTTATATATATTTTTCATTATTTTCTGTGACATGATAACATCCATTTTCCTGAAGACTACATCTGACTGCAATACCTCCTACACCACCAGGACCATGATATCACCTCATCTTGTTTGCTTTGATATTTTTTATTACAAGTCTACCATAATTTTCTAAATTAATATTGTGTGTCTACTGAATAAACATATTATAGCATTGTTTGATAAATTGGTTGGGCCACATATACAATATTTCCTAAGAAATCAGAAGCTTAGTGCTATAATTTACTACAATCCTATGATCAGTAAACTATCATGTTGTGACTCACTTTTTCAGGCTCACTGGTCATGCAGAGAGTTGTCATCCATTGTGAAAGATGTTGCCTGAAGAGAGTCTGTTCTTCAGGAATAGAATTCATGTAGCGAGTGCGGGCATAATGCTCAAGAACCTAAAAAGAAAAGCACCATCTCTTTATAGTTATATACCCGGTACTGCACAGATAAAACTGCACTTATTATGATGACAACTTTTAAACTGCTCCCATTTCTCTTTCAACTCCACATAGATTTTCATAGCCAGGTTAACAGAACTTCACATTTCTAATCCAACCATGAAGATGAATTAGCTATTTAAATAGCTGACATAACAGTTTGCTTTAATTATTTCATGTTATTAGTGCTACAGGACCTTATACAGTAGTAGTGAAAAGGCTCTTTTTTACTTGTTTCAATGTATTGTAGAGTATCTTGAACATGGATAAAAATCAATTAACCAGGTGAATAAAAAAATATAATTTAAATAAATCCTAACCCTGCCTAAAGATTTCCTTCTTTTCAAACTACCTACAGTATTTTCAATTGCCATCATGTCTCAGCACATATATCTGTTTCTCTCTCCCTGACAATAATTTTTGGCACTTCATATTCAACCCCAAATACCATCCACTTTCCTGTTTAAATTCCCCATCAACAATCCAGGTCGACCTAAAACATCTCTATCCTACTCAATTTCTTAATCCCTGGGGCTTAAGACTCACATTAACTAATCACCTAAACCCTACTTCTAGTCTGATATACATTTCATCATTAATCTGTACTACTCCACCTTCTCTTACTCTTTAAGGCTGCCCTAACTCTAAGGCCTTCACACTTACCAACACAGTAAATTTCTCATTTGCCCTAGAGCTCTGTTTCACTTAAGACTTAATTTTATTTTGTATAAACAATTTAATTTCTAGCTGGGTAATACAAGGCATAGCATGGATTAAATTGCAAGTTACAGACCTGCAAGCATACAAACTTGACTTTCTCATCGAGGGAAGAACCACCAGATGTAAGTGTCGCGCCACACAGCTGCCAGCCGTCTGAGCTTTCACGCAATTGTTGTAGATAGTCAAGGGCCTGTATAAAATAGAGAAGATAAAAAAACAATACTGTACTAATATCACAGGTAAAATAACATATAAACCAAATAACATATAATAAGTAACTTGGCTTAAGACACCTCTATTCAGGAGTACATCTGCATAGAAAATGGTTCATAAAACACTGATGATGATACTGTATATACAGTACAGTACAGTACATATAGTACTGTATTGTACATTGAATACTCAATAATTCGATATCTTAGAATAATTCATTATTTTTTTTAGGTATACCCAGTAGTTGGCGAGAAGATTTTGTGACGTTTGAAAAAAAAAAAAATTTATATACAGTATTACCTCGCTTTACACATTTACGATTTCTCATTTACGCGGTACCTTGCCAGAACCAGACTTTCACTTTCCGCTGAAGTATAATTTTTTTTTTATTTTGCTCATAAATTTCATACAAATTACCCGGCCAGAATATAATTTACATTGCTGGAATTCTTACAATATGATGATCATTTTGAATATAAACATCATGGATTTTGCATTAGACATACAAATTTTAGATCTAAAGTAATAATTTTGTTTACACAAAGCAAATATTTTATATTTTGTGCAAAATATATGAAGTTTACATTCAAAATATTCCCTGACCTGCAAGGAATCTAGAAATGTCAATTATATTATCCTAACTTTAGTCTGAGGTATTATTTATTACTAAACGTTAAAATCTAGTGTTTCACCCAAACATTTCTCAGAGAGGTAGGAGCTAGTGAGCTGGGAAGAGAGGGGGGGGGATTTGAGTCCATTATTTGAATGGACATTAACCTGGCGACTGTATTTCTCTTAAATATTAATTGTGTGAGCATACCATCATAAAATTTAGATGTTATTTTTACTACAACATAGGTATTGTGTCGGAAAAAGTGGAGTTTGGGGGTCAGGGCCAGTCTCTATTGGAATTAATCCCATATGTTCTGTTGTTCATTTACGCGGTTTCATTTTCCGCGGTACCCTGTGGGTTCAATTGACCGCGTAAATCGGGGTACTACTGTATGTATGTATATATGTATATATGTGTATATATATATATATATATATATATATATATATATATATATATATATATATATATATATATATATATATATATATATATATATATATATATATATATATATATATATATATATATATATTGAATTAGCCCACAAATTTCAAATAACTAACATGACTCCACCAAAAAAAAAAATCATCTATACATTTCAGTTTTTTAATGGTTCAAAAGTGAAATGAAATAGGATTTAAACAGCGCAAGGTGGCTTTGATAAATTCATTCGAGGTTTGGTGTTGGGTTAACAACTCGATAAAAGTCAGTCAGATTGTGAACAGTATGGTTGCTCACTGTGGGTCTCACCTCTTCCTCCTCTTCACTTATAGTGTCCCTGCTCCATTAGGTTAGGTATTGTATATTGTAATTGATTTAATTGTAGGCTTAATAGTATTATGCTGTGTTGATGGGTAAATTTTCATACTGAGCAAACCTGTTATTTAGTTATCATTAATGTTTTCTAGAATGCAATGTAAAGAGTTTAACTTAATTACATCAAGTTATTTTACTCTTTGGTTTTGGTTCACCCATACTTGAGATTGACAAGTCTTTGAAAAGTTTCATGGTAAATAATTATCTTAATCGTGAATCCAATAGAAGTAAGAGTACAGTAAAGCCTCGGATAACAACGATTCGTCCAACAACTTTTCGTATTTGAAACCCTAGATAATTTAGGACCCAATTCAGTTTACATCCTTATTTCATTAGTATTTGAAACCCTAAATAATTTAGGACCCAATTCAGTTTATATCCTTATTTCATTCATATTTACGACAAAAATATAATAAAAATGAATAAAATTACATTTTCATATAAATAATAACTAAATCCCGATACGTATTATATAAAAAAAAAATGAAGAGCACCTTGCACAAAGAAGCTGCCTTGCTAATGAGTGGTAAACAACAGTGAGCTTGGCGGGCCTTTTGTTTTCACATATCTGGAACAGGAACTGAAAAAACTCTCAGGTTTCTTACAGCAGTTTTGCATCCCTATTCAACATGAGCAAGAGAGCAAGTGATGGTAAGTGTTGTTTCAAAAGCTAATAGAAAGTGTCTAAGCTTAGCCGAGAAACTAGATGTGTTAAAACGATAAGAAAAAGGTGAGAGGTCTATGGATATTATATGGAACAAGCAATGAACATATTTTCTGAAGTGGATCCATTAACAGAACAAAGCTTAAATTAAATACTAAATGCAAATGACTGCTACATAAAAATGCATAATGAGAAAAGAAAGCAGCTGTGCAAGGTTCTTTCGAGAGCTTTATTATTCGAAGGCCTAAACCATCAACTTCAGCTACACCATCAAATTCGGCATCATAAGCAGCTTCAAAATCAATCCAGGTTCAGTAACAGTTTCAGCAACAGCTTTATGGAAAGCTACAGCTTCAGCCAGAGTTGAACCTGATGACTTCGTCATCTGAGTAAAAACTTGCACAATATTCATTGGCTGTCCTTATGTTTTAGACTTTACCACCATTGGTGAATAGAATTTTAGTTTTACATTCGTAAATATTATTCAAAACATATATGAAAAGTAAATAAGTGTTGCTTTCATATTCATATGTTGAGAAATGACGATATGTTTTCACATGTACAGTATAGTACAGTAGTGTCAAAAGCATTTCTTACCCTTGTGTGTTGCTGTTGGTTATCTGGAGCCCAAAGCCCTTGAAGCATCTGGGCATCCATGGTCCTTAAGAGGCCAGCACAAGGGTTATGTCCAACTGAGCCCACCTCCTCACAGACCTCACGGGTAGTTATAGCGCCACAATCTGGGAAATAATATAATTCACAAACTTCATTACAATTCAATCCTAAAAACAGCTTCCACTCCTCCTATTGCTAGAAGGAAGCTGATTACTTTATAAGTCAAATTAAATGTACTGTAACTTCAGAAAGGTGATGGACTGATACTGATAATTCAATGAGCTTAGCTGCATCTAGAGTACAGTACTATGTACAGTAACACTGAATGAGAAGCATAAAATTAAAAGACCTTAACTTTATTAGCATTTGTATATATTGTACTGTACAGTACACTACAGTCAACCCTCGCTTTACGCGGTCCCACTTTACGCGTTTCCATGTTTACGCGGTACCCTGCCAAAACCGGAATGCTCACTTTCCGCGGTGTGTGTACCCTTTTACGCAGAGAGCGGCGCAAGCAGGGTGCGCACAAGGTCGCCCAGTCATCAAAACATTACCGAGTTCTTCACCCGCCACCCACCACAGCCGGCCCAAGTCAGTGATAGTGAGGATATGGACTTATATGGACTTTGAGGGGTTTGACAAAGAGGCCCTGCAAGCCTCTGTGGTGGATAGTGATACAATTGATACAAGTGATACAGGTGAGGGCCAATAATCTGCCCTCTGCCTCGGAACCAACCCCCCATCCCCGTGTGCCCAGCCATCTTTTCTACTAATGTAAGTGTTAAAAAACCTAATATTATTGATATTTCTCTTAATTATTAATTGTGTGTGCATACCATCATAAAATTAAGAAGTTATTTTTACTACAACGTAGGTATTGTGTCTGAAAAAATGGAGTTTGGGGGTCGGCCCGGTCTCTATTTCAATTAATCCCATGTTATGTTGTTCACTTTACGCGGGCCGCCGTGGGTTGAATTAACCGCGTAAAGTGAGGGTTCACTGCATAAAAATCTATCAGTATACTGTACAGTACTCTCACATCTCGGTTTCACTTACAAAATATTTATTTTCTTTCTTTCATGTTTGAATGTCTAATTTATAAATATTTTTATTTTTTATTCATACAATAATTTGTCAGAAACGCATCACCCCTAATCACATGAATTCCCAGATGATTTTTTTTATCTCAACGCATTTTCACTTCAGATGCTACATTTGTCATTATAAAAGTGGGATGCCTGCATTGCTAGTTTGGTGAAATGGTGGCCAACTTCTCAGTGAACTGTACTTATGGTGTTAGTTTTACCTTTAACAGGCTTGATCCTTTAATTATGTATTGAGTTCAACAAAAACAGGTCTTCAATCTTTTATTTTAACTTGATTCCCTAAACCAAACATGCAAATGACATTGCTGTTACAGTATATAACAGGTTGATACACCACTTTTTTTTTTAATAAAAAATACAGTCCAGTCCATTACAGTATACCTTTGTAAATAAATTATAATTCAAAATTATCTTGATTTTTCATTAAAAATAATTCAAAACTTTTGTGTCATTTGAACTGTTCATGATTATAAACTACAGAAGCCAAGACAAGAACAAGCAGCCTAGCTGTGGATACTTGCAGAGGGAATTGTGCACGTTAATCCTGATGCAATTGGAATGGAATCAAGGACCAATAAGAATGGAGTCTAGTGTATTGTACACACGGGGAAAGTAGCAGAGGCGAGTGCAACCATGGAGAAATTGAGGAATTAGTATGTGGGAACGGCGACTCAACCCTAACCCCATAACCTTCCACCTTAGTAGATGCAAGCAGTATATGATTTAAACATACCAACTGGTGTATCTGACCACACCCCAAATAGTAATGTGAATAGAGAAAATGAGGTAGTTACTGGGTACCGATAATGCAAAGGCTTCAGATTCTTCAACAATTCCAGAGCTATTATCACATAACAAATCTGGTTTAAAATTATGTACTATTCAAACACTGACTTTTCCCTCAACTGGAGATTAAATTATTATTCAAGATATATCAACCTGAGATAGTACAGCAGTGCATCTGCAAATAAAAGTAGTCCCTGTAACCTTTTTACATGACTTAAGAAAAATATAAGGTAAGGGTAAATAAAATACAAGAAAACACATGCAAACAATCTTCATTGTTGCTGTTTTATCGTGGATTTCCTTCAGAGAAACTTTCTTTATCTAACAGGCCATTTCTTGTGACCCATGTTCATTGGTGACTGCTCCGAGCAGGATTTTTTTTTTAGATAAGTATGGCGTTGTGTGTCTTTATAGTGAGAAACTATTGTAACTGCACCAAGATACAGCTAAAAATACAGTCCCAGCAGGAATATTGTGCATAGAGGTCCAAGACATCAATGAGTTGACAAATGAAAAAATTTTGCAGCTAATTCAGCTTGTAGGGCAGTAACTAGGCTGTATTTACATAACCAGGATCAATATTTTTTGCAGACACTGTAGGTGTTAAAGAACCGCTGTTTAAAAATAAAAAGATTTATCCAGGTGATTGAGTTTAAAATTCACGGATGATTCAATTATACAAACTTATCCGAGGCAAAAAGTAACAGATGTGGTTATTTATTCTAGAAGGACCATAGAGCCAGTTAGGTGAGGATGCAAAGGGAAGACACTTTAGGAGGTCAAGTGGTGTCAAATTTAGCTAGTGGAAAGACCCATACTCACGAGCATATGTATTTGAGATCCTTAATACAATGACATTAAATCCTAGCAGCCTCCTTGTAATGGAGAATTTTATTTATATCAACTGTACCCATGAAAGTACTGTGCACCAAACGGCCTTAATAACCCTACAAGTCTTTTTATAGAAACTTTGCGGAAATATTTACTGGTCCAACATATTAAGGATCTGACTCACTATTGAGGTGAACGAACACCAAAATCACTGGATCACATCATGACAAAGAAGGAAAGAATAGCGATCAAATTGGAATATTTAGCACCCAATGGCTCTAACCATCTTGTGACATTGTCCTTCAGATTATTTGTTACTTGGTACACAAGGAGAGCAGACCAAAGTTCAAACACTACAATAATGATTACAACAAAATGAGGTCTGTGAACGAGTTCCTGAGGTTGAAAATCAGGTGCCTTTTCTGGAAAATTCCGAGAAAAATATTGGAAACTTTCTCCAAATTTTCTTCCGGGTCTTGGAGCAAATTTTGAGGATAAAATAATGTGCAATTCTGGAAAAATCTGGAACCTCTCTCCAATTTTTTTCTAGTCTGGAAGCAAATTCCAGGGATGAAATATAGTACCGTATATCTTGGCCTATAAGACGGAATTTGAACCTTAAGAAAATCAGCCCAAAATTAGGTGTCGTCTTTAAGTACCGGGTATAAAATTCTCACCTCTTAAATATTGTGGTTTAGCGTGTCAAGAACGGTGATGGAAAACATCGTAAACCACTCACAAGGTCCTACCACTAATTATTTTATACTGAAACTTACGTTTGGGAAGCTGGATTAAAAATAAGATTACCGGTATATCAGCATATACCTGGATCACGCGCACCCACAGTGATTTACTTACACAATTTACATATATATGTAAATTGTAAAATTTTAAAAAAGAGAAAAACTAAATACATAGCGTTTAAAGTGTACTGTACAGTGTTGTCACTTGGCGCGGGGTTATGCAGTGTTTACAGTTCACGTTCGACATCACATGTTCAATTGATTTATGTGTTTTGTTTGAAGAATTACAGAAATAATTTATGTAATATTTATGTACAGTATACAGTATACCTGTACAGTATATGTAAATTGTAAAATTTAAAATAAGAGAGAAAAACAAAAAACGTAGCGTCTTAGACCCGCGCGCTCTGTTTACACCACACAATCAGTCTGAAACACGTGGGAAGTTTTTAGGTGTCCTCAGTGATATTTTATTATTGTTTCTACAATTTTGTGACTTTGGAAAAGAAGAATATCTCCGGGAAGCGTTCTGGTGATCGCATTTCCGGTGGTGATCGTAAAAGAAAGGTTATAACACTTGAAGAAAAGCTTGATGTTGTCAAGTGTTTTGAAAATAAGGAAAGAACATGTGATATTGTGTGTGCAACGGAAATAAAGGAGTCTACTTTACGCACCATTAGAGACAATGCAGCAAAGATTAAAGCAAGCTGTATTGCTGGAAAAACCTTGAGTGCGAGCAAAAGTGTAAGATCACGGCCAAAGTAACTTGAGGAGATGGAATGGCTTCTAAGTGTTTGGATAGAAGATCAAATGAAATAGCAATCTGGGACCAAGTTATATTCATATTTTTTCAAGGTAAAGTGTAACATTTACTGTATGATTTCATTATTAGATATGAATGTAATATTTATTTAGGCTGTGCTATCCTTTGTGTTAAGCTAACTTCTAAATTTTTGCGATTTCGAGTAATCTGCCCCTAACTCTATTTTCTCCATAAGCCCTGTTATTTCTATTGCGCAAATTTGTAGAACGAGAGGTTTTACAAGAACACAACTATCGCATTATAGCAGAACTGACTGTATATTCCCATTATGTGTTTGCCCTTAACCCTGAGGCCCTGGGTGACGTTCCAGAACATCCGCCTATTTTCCCACCATTTTTTTTAATTATTATTATTTTTTTAATTATTTTTGGAAAAGTTAATTATTTTTAGCGATTTAAACCCGTGGGGGGGGGGGGTTACTGCCAGCAGCACCCTAACCAGGGCTTAAGGGTTAAAACAATGACTTCTTTGACTTTTTTTCACAATACTTATATATGAAGATGGTGTGTGCATGTAATTGAGTAAAAATAAATTAAGAAAGTTATGCATATCTATCCAAAAATACAAGTTGAGAAACAACCAAAACACCTCACAGCTTGGCCCATTAGACTGGTGGTGACAGTGACGAGTCTAACCTGGCTACAATGCCACCAGCGATGTTAATACCTGTAGATGCAAATGTGAAGAGAGAATTACAGTATCTGTAAATCTTCATTTGCATCAAGTACTTGTAGATTTACAAATAAATGTTGCAGGTATGGCATTAATAGATTGTAATGCTAGTAAGAGTTCAGAAATTGTTACTGTTTGGCTACCTCTGGAGAGTTGGGTGT